ATTGAATAAGAAGTTAACAGTCGCAAGCTTATCTTCCTAATGCGTAAGCAAGTTTACGTCATAGAGAAATAAGCTTATTAACTTTTCTAATCAATTTGTTTACAAATTATATAATGAACAATAACTAACAGCTCCTATGCTGCAAGAACTGGTAGCACTTCCCGTTCTTTTGAAAAGAACTGGTCGCAGTTCGCGTTCTTTTGAAAAGAACTGGTGACCAGTTCGCGTTCTTTTGCAAAGAACTGATGACCAGTTCCCGTTCAAAAAGAACGCAAACTGGCACCAGTTCCCGTTCAAAAAGAACGCAAACTGGCACCAGTTCCCGTTCAAAAAGAACGCAAACTGGCACCAGTTCCCGTTCAAAAGAACGGAACTGGAACTGTCCCACCCCTAAAATGGATGTTGAGTAATGGTAAAGAAATTTGTATTCATTTTTCTAGCTCTATAAAAGTAGTACAGTAGAATTAAATTGAGTGTGGTTATTCTGTATTCTGCTAACCCTCTAACTGCGAGACAAGGAGAGGTCTTCACTGGATACATATGTTGGAATGAGCGCCTCATATATCAGCACTCAATGAATTTTCAAGTTTATTGAATTATATATTAAAATAGCAACTGTCTTTAGTTATTATCACGTTCATCACCAATTACTATATGATGCAGGGCGCCCCAAACCTCCGTAGGCCCACAAACTGTTCAACTATTGGGTAGCCTAAATGGAACATTACGAAAACTAAAAACACTTTTGACCAGGTTTTGATGAATAAAATGTTCCATCTCTATCAGTCAACAAGTTTACGCTATTTTCATATTGCTTGCAGCGTTATCCTAATACTCCGATAGATATTATATTGACTGCGTGTTGAGCTTATTAATTTCAAAAACAATTATATCAATAGTGAATTTTCTCTCTGAGTGGACCCCCACCAAAGGCGTCATCATCCCCTCCGCTCGTCATATCAGAACCTGTGGAACCATCGGCGAAATTACCTGCTCCCATGTTACCAAACTGATCCTGGCTACTGCCGAAACCACCTGCTCCCATGTTACCAAACTGATCATGGCCACTGCCGAACCCACCTGCTCCCATGTTACCAAACTGATCATGGCCACTGCCGAAACCACCTGCTCCCATGTTACCAAACTGATCATAGCCGCTGCCGAAACCACCTGCTCCCATGTTCCCTTGAGGGTTATACATACCGCTGCCTAGCCCTGTTGACTGAAATCCGTACATGTTTCGCTGTGACGATGAAGTGAATCTGTTTGTTTTCTCTAGTTTTTTTAAAAATGTATGTTGTGTAAGAAAATGATTATGTGCTGAGTAAAACAGAAGGTAAAAGAGTAATGAAATCAGTCATGATATCATCATAGCTAGATCACTCAACTGGAACAATGTAGATATGTACAACGATAAACCATTCGTAGATGCACCCATTTTCGATGATTTTTCCTCGAAAAGAACAACCAAACTCTGAGTTCTTTTGCTCGTCCCTTTTTTCTTAGTGCTACCGCGACGAACAAGCAGGGTTATAGTTGATTTTTAAACTAGAGGGACTAGACTTTGTTCGCGCTGAATGATGAAACTATCGCGTAATTTAAACTGAAAAGTATCATAGCAGTAAATCAAAACAAAATTTATACAATACGTAATTAAATTAAAAGAAACAACCCCTGAACCATCTCAACCTAACATTAATCAATATAAATTATTCCTATAAATCAACATTTGCATACTAAGTACAAATAATAATAAAAATATTTCTAACTTTATCTTTTATAAAAATACAGCAAAACAAACATTACAGTCAATCTAATTAATACAACTAAAAGTGAAAAAGAAATTCTCCGAATATCAAAAATAAACTCCATGTTCAACAAAATCAAATTTAAAAATTTTATATTAATAGTAAAAATAAATTTATTTATGAGAGAAACTGTTATTATTGATTGATGGATGGATTTTTGTTTTGGTAACAACAAGGCTGACCGTTTGAGCATGTGAACACAGATAAACATACAATAAAAACAGAAACAGTAATGTCGCGAAATACTTTTTGCTGATGACTGTACGGTGATTTGTCCCGTTACTTCTGCTTGTTTGCCACAATTTTCTCAGGAGAATATTGACAAAATATGTGATTAGTGTAATTCACACCGCATGGCGCTTCATCCTACCAAGTGCGAGAGTAGGTTCTTTTATACAAGCTACTCTACAGTGTAAAGGAATATGTCCCGAAGCTTTCAATTTTCACACGAAACAGTTTCGCCAAACAGAGACTTACTAAGCTAATACTAAGGATGCAGCCCGAATATTATTGCAGCGGAATTGAACATAGGAAAACCTGTGAAAAGTGGAAGCAAGCGGGAAGTGTATGCACCGAACGTGATTGTAATCCATTTGCAGAAAACGATGCTGATCGGAAAACATTACAGTTTCTCCTGCATCTAGGTTGGGCTAGTACCTATTAAGTCTAAGTATAAGTAAGTAGTAAGCTATTCAAAACACGATCCTGGTCTTCTTCTTCTGAAATGCGTAGGTGATCATGCAACTGAAATAAAAGTTATTCAAGTGTGAAATGAAACATAATTCAGGTCTACTCTTACCTTTTTTTCTCTTCTGTTTGTTTCAACAAGGTGGCACATATTCAATATCATTCATACATAATAATAATGTTGACAAGTATTTCATATAGCATGTCTATGGCAAGCAATCAACATATTCAAGATGATTTCACTTTGTTTGCCAAAACTGCGAACAGCCTTGAGATTGTCAACAATATTATTCTACTCAAATTTTTTAAACGTTTCATAGAAGGCGTTTGAAATTGGATCTTGATCGCAAATATAAAAAGAAAGGAAAGTTCGATAAAAGTTCATTTACCCGCCCACATTTAATTTCAGTTTAACTCAAAGAATCAGGTGCTAATTTTGGCAGCGCTTTTAAGATTAAACTTAGCAAATTAACTATTTAAAACCCTGTGATTCTGGATCGATCTCTCATTTCACTATAGTTATATAACACTTTTTATTGTCACCTATTGAATAAATATTATAAATTGCACAAAATTTTTCTCATGCTTCATCTATGCTTTGACTATGGCTACCTATTCGGCAAATGACAAGTTACGGAAATCACAAATCTACATAATAAAACACAATAATTGAGCAATTTTCAGCTCCGTTCGATCTCTCTCTAGCACGTTCGATGCATACAGTTCCCTCTTACTTGCACGATACAGACTATGGAATTGAACATAGGAAAACCTGTGAAAAGTGGAAGCAAGAGGGACTATATGCATCAACGTGATTGTAATCCATTTGCAGAAAACGACGCCGATCGGAACACATTACAATTTCTCCTGCGTCTAGATTGGGCTAGTACCATGGACAAAGTGCAAGGTACTATATAAAATCTTCTTTTCTACCCATCGATCGGTTAATGTGACACCTATATGTGTTTGTTCTGCTGTCTACGTCAGGATTGATCGTTAACAAACCGTACGTAATTAACTGTGAAAATGTCAGACGCTGGGGACAATTTTACATGCACAATCAGGAGCCGCAGAGGAAGAATACCCTGCGTTATCCACCATAGATCCTAGTTGCTGTTTCTGCGACGAAAGAATTGAGGATTCAACCAACAGAATGCATAACAGAGACCGAAAGCGAATCGACTTGTCGAATAATTCGACTCGATTCGATGCGACTTCAGTCCAGTCAGTCAGTCAATGCTCGCTTGATACAGAGAAGAAAGAGTAATTAATCATCAGCTGATACACACAGAAGGATTCTTGGTACCTTTGGTACTTTGTACCTTGTAACATTTTGATTCTATATGTCGTAAATATATAGCGATTTCAGACTTCCGTATACTTAAATGCTCATTTTTTAGGGGATCCAACACAAGATAGGACTCAATTCGATCAGAAAAATATCGAAAACAATTTGCACATTTTTGCGCATAGGATGTAGCTGTAGCGCGGCGGCAGAAGAAGATTTTCGTAAAGTTTGAACTCGATTTAGGCTTTCGGAAATTTTTGAGGAAAGTCATTTTTACTAAAGATCTGGTTTTAGGACATTTTTTTAGCACGGGAAACGCTTGTTTTCCCGGCTTTGTTAAGTTTCAATTTGGGATTTTTTAGCTGGATCGATCAGTTTTTATTTTCAAGTTTATTTGCAGCCTAGGCATTATTTTAAGTTAAAAATAAAAGTAAAATACGTCATGGCCATCGATTTTTGATCTTTTTTCCCAATGATTTTTCTTACCTTACCTAAAAAGATAAAACTTTATTTTCACAAGAAATACATATTTTTCTTTTTTTTTCTTCTTCTTTTTCTTCTTCTTTTTTTTTTAAATACATATTATTTCTTGAGCATGATTGTTAACAGATGAACGGCTAATTTTAGCGAACAAATAGGTATCGTCAACAAGAGCACATCTTACAAATATGATTAAAATTCGTTAAGAAATACACAGTAGGCGTCCAGGCGGACATTCAGTCAAAAAGTGGAAGTTTTCGCTGTGCACAAGTTGATTAAAAAGATCTGGGTTCGGGCTAACTTTTCTTGTGAAAATAAAGTTTTATCTTTTTAGGTAAGGTAAGAAAAATCATTGGGAAAAAAGATCAA